GGGGTCCAGGCACCAGGAGCCCAGGGGTCTGACACCCCACAGGGCAGGGGCCGAGTCGCCAGCAGCCAGCCTGGGCAGGCCAGGCCGAGGGGGCACATTTTTCATAGATTCATAGATTCTAGGACTGGAAGGGACCTCGAGAGGTCATCGAGTCCAGTCCCCTAAGTTGCCCATGTGGGGCGCCCAGTTGCCCATGTGGGGCGCGGGGCCCTGTAGAGACACCAGGCGAACGGGTCGTTGCTGGGACCCAGGAAAGGGCCTGAGCCTGTCGTGCCAGGCCCCTGCTTATTGCTATTACCAGGGCTGCGGGCCCGGGGTCAGCACCCCGTTGCGCCAGGCGCTGCATCAACACCAAAAAAGCTGGCCCCTGCCTCCAAGAGCTCACAACCCTTCAGCAAAAATGGCAGCTGCTAGGCCAGAAAGGGTGCAAAAGGAGGGAGGGCCGTGGGGGGGGACCAAGGGGTGGGCCGGGAGCCCGGGGCTGGCGTAGCAGGGGGGGGGCTGCCCGTTGCAACATTGCCAGAGCTAATGGGAGCTTCGCCCAACAGCTGTACACCTACGTAAGGCAGAGTTGTTAGCCTATTGTCCTCAGCACTAAAATCGCTCCGCTTTTTAAACCACTGACAAGGCCCCAGGGAAGAACTTGCACTTTCCCAGATAACATTAATGGACCCTCGTCCAGCCGTGCACGTCACTGGTACTGTTCTGCTTATGCTCGGTCAGCTGCTGGCTCTCATCTTGCATTGCAAGCGCTTTGGAGCAGGGGCTATTTGCAGCACCTTGCACAATGGGGGCCTGGCCCATGACTAAGCGCTCTTAAGCCCAGAGCCTGACAGGTAGTGGAGTGGCCAATTGCCATTGAAATCGGTGCCTAATGCCCACTTAAAGACCTTTGTGGATGTCGGCCTGGATGACTTGCCCAAGGTCTGTAGCAGAGCTGGGAACAGAACCTGTTTCTAAGTGACCTACCCACTGGACAGGACTTCCTCTCTCACCTCATAGAAAATATTTTCTTCTGTAGCTATCCCCTTTGAAGAAAATCACATTCACGACAAGTTAAAACTAAGAATATTTTTAATGATTTATAAACCAATCCCATAATATTATTAACATTTGATAGGAAACAACAGCCTACAAAGAATTACAAAAATCAAGGACGACAAATATATTCGAGGGTTTGTTTTTTAAAAATATTCACTTACAAAAACTGCTTTAAAACTAACACAGCCTTATAAATATTCCCCTATTTGTTCCAGTCCAAAAAAATATATTCATGCTCCCAAATATTGTGTCATTATAGCTATTAACCCCCATCTCCATCTCTCCTTCCCTCTGTTTTCATCATGAGTCGGCAGGAGCATTGTTTTGGGGGAATTCTCTTCTGCCTTCTGTAGCCATCGGCTCAGAGACTCAATTTCCCTTCCCTCCTCAAACTGGTTCCCATCAGGCACTTTACGTTGCTGTCCTAACCCTACATTTTTCTTTAGGCAACTGAGTTGAGAAAAAAAGCTAGCCGGCTGTGGAAGGAAATGAGCCACAACCTTTCTGCTCTAAAGAAACTCAAGATACAAGAGCTCAAATAGCTGCGATAGGAACAGAACCACTCTGACTTTTAACCCTCTCCTGGAAAAGGCCCATGTGGCTTATGAGCTAAATCCACAGCTTCCCTTAATGCTCATTCCTCTCCTGGAATATTAATTTGTACCTCGAAAATACTTATATAAACAACCCTTAAATATAAAATGCTTTACTATAAAATAGGCTAAGTCTGTTTTTAAATAGTCTATTCATCTATTGTCAACTGATCACTTTTGGTTTAGATGTGGATTTCCCCCTCCCCCCATCTCCTCTTTAAGCAGACCCCAAGAGTCTGGCGGTGGGCGGGTGACAGCACCATGGGACGTTCCAGGCTTTTACAAATGGGGCTGTTTGTAGGGAAACATTACCAGCTCAGCTGAAACCGATCCCGTTGCTAGGGGCCCCTGTCCACCAGAGTAATAGCTGCTACCTCAGGGATCTCGATCGGAGCCTTACTGTCCATTCAAACACCCCATCTGCACTGCACTTCAAGGAAGCAGCTGCTGAAGACCTGGCTGCCACCGAGGGCTGGGTGACGGGGGATACTTTCGAACACCCTTCCCCACCCTGCAGGACAAGCTAAGTGGAAGACTGCTCCAACCCAGACTCAGGAGCACCCCCCAGCCCCTTGAGCTGCCCCTGCTCCCCTAGGTTTGGGCCGTTCTTTGTGGATTTAAAATCAGATTCGTTGCTGGGTGGCCAAATCGGCCCTTCCAGGGAAAGGCAGACACCAGAGTGGCTGGGGAAGCCCACAGGAAAGGAGGCGAATTAAAATCTCAGGTTGGGTGCATGTGCCCATTTCACAGGCCAGAGCCTCAGCTCGCGTAAATACGCATCGCTCTGCTGAAGGCAGCGGCGTTTCACCGTCCGCACCAGCTGGGGATCTGGCCCCATGTGCCGGAGCCAGCCTTTCCACGGGCTGAAGCACCTCTGGCATGGAAAGATCTGAGCCAAAGGAAAGTGACAAGGAGTCCCACCCTCCGGGAGCCAGCCCTCCAGAGCATGTGGGGAGCAGCCCGGCTGGTACCAGCTCTAGTGAGGTGTACGTCAGATTCTGGGGTCAGATCCATAGCTGGCATAAGCTGCCATTGCACCACTGACAAATCAGTGGAACCACACTGATCGACGCCCACCGAGGATCTGTCCCCTTGCAGCGAGCGTGGCCATAGGCAGTGCCACAGAATAAGCGGCCAATGACACGGCGGGTGGAGAATCTGTCGGAGGAGACTGCAGCACCGTCAGGTTGGGGGCTCCTTTCGGGGACAAAGACCTTTGCTATCAAAGCCCTTCCGGGAGCAGAGAATCGGGGGGCGTCTTGCGGGGAGGCCAGGAGAAGAGCCAGCTGCAACAATCAGTTTCAGCTGCTGGGTTCCTGGTCCACCACCCGGCGCAGGGTGAAGCCTTTAGAGCAAACCCCCTCCTGTGGGTGCAGATTCTCCCCAGAGCGGATGAGGAACCTGCTTCCCTGCAGAAGCTCCATGCATCAGGTCACACCTGGTGAGATGTTCCCGTGGGGAGGAGGATGCCAGCGTAGGAAGTGCGAGGGTCTTGGGCCCCGTCGGTCAAAACGCTTCTGCCCATGGGACATGAAGGGGGGGATGCTAAGTGAGCAGAGTTCCTGCTTAGGGTCAGATCCTGCCAGGGGAGGAGGGGAACTGAGCAAGCCCAACACGCTGCAGGATCAGCCCTTACAACGCATGTTTCCTGAGCGGTTGGGGACGTGTGGGCCCCCCCGACCCAAAGAGCCGCTGGGGATTCCGGCAGCCAATCCGCAGGGTCCAATTTGCAGCAGGAACAGGAGTCGCCAGGCGCGCCGGCTGCAGCAGACTCCAGGGGGCTGGACAGGGAGCAGGCAGTGGGTGGGCGTGTGAGTTCACCGGGGCCAGCTGAGCGTATCTAGTTGGTAGGAGGGGATGGTTCCCCAGCCAGACCCTCCCTGCCTTCCACCCATGGAGGGGGGGTTCACCCTGTGTTGGAGCAGGAATTCGAGGGGGGCTCCGCTGAAGAGGCTCAGAAGGGGGCATGCCGAGGGAGGTGAAAGAAGGGGCTCAACCAGGGCAGCTGGGGGGGACGCTCCCAGCTGCAGCGAGCAAGGTCCCATTGCTGGTGCTGGAATCCAAGCCCTCCAGGGAGGGTCAAAGCTGCAGACTAGGAGCTCCAGCCAGGGCAACGGGGGTTGGGCTGGGGGGGGTCCCACCCCCTCCATTCAGCATCCCCACGGCCGAGAGGCTAAGTGCAAGTCCGCAGGGGCAGGATGAGTCACAGGATCCCCAGGGCAGGCCCAGCCCCAGGAGACGGATCCAGATACAGGCATAGGCCAGACAGAGCCAGCGTGGGGGCAGCAGAGTCCTGGCTGGGCCGGCCCCCTCCCCGAAGCCACTTCACAAGCGCAGGTGAGGGACGGCCTTGGTGACGTCCCGGAAGAAGGGATGGTTCAGCGCTGACTTGGCCGAAATCCGCTTGTTGGGGTCGTAGTGCAGCATTTGCTGGGTAGGAGAGGGGGGGTGGTTATTGTGGGTGGGGGACGGGACAGGCGGGAACTCTGCCATTCCCATGGCAACTGTCATCCTGAAGCACCAAGGTGGGTGGGTCACACCCAAGGCTGTAGTGCAGCTGCCTCTGGGGTGGAACGTGGCAGTTGTTCCAACGCCACCGCTAAGGACAGGGAATGAGACGGAATCTCAAACCCTTGGAACATCTCCAGGGGGAATTTACAGACAATGCGATGGACTCTGGTCTGGACGCCGGGGCTAACGCCTCTCGCAGCGGGAGGGCAGAGGGTCGGGCAGGCAGGACTCCTGGTTCTCGTTCCAGCCGCTACCGCATGGGGATCTGGGGTCTAGTCCTGGTTCTGCTGCTGATTGCGTGGCCTGGACAAGTCACTTCCCCCCCGTGTCTCAGGCTGCCCCAGTGGGGTGGGGGAAGAGAGGGAGGCTCTTGCTGTCCATGCAGCACCAGTGGAGGGCTAAGGAGCTCAGCTACGGCTGGAGGGCAAGTGGCTTCCAGTCCCCAGCTCCAGCCCTGCACTCTCCCAAGAAACCTCGTTCCTCTCCCCCTGCCTGCCCCCAAGCTAACTAGGTACGGGGTCAATCCTGGAGCCCCCCCAGCTACTCACAGCCAAGAGCTTCCTCCCTTCCTCGTCCAGGGGAGGCACCACCTTGCTGAAGTCCTGTCTGGCCCATTTGGGGAAGCTGGGCTTGTAATCAGGCATGGAAGTGACCCCCGGCCACACGGCCTCGTCCGGGGTGCCCAGCGTCCGGAAGATGCGGAAGAGCTGGTCGATTTCCGAGTCTCCGGGGAACAGGGCTCGCCTGGTGATCTGGACAGCAGGAGAGGGGTCAAGCGAGGTCCCAGCACAGCCCCACCTCCCAATGGCTCAAAGCGATGGGGGGTGGGGGGCTTTCCCACCCTCCTCTCTCCCCAAGGGAGGGAGCTGAGGGCCAGGGATGCTCTGGCCACACACCAGTTACCGGCTCAGCACAGAGGGAAGGATCATTTCCTGATCCCCTCTGGCCTTAAACCCTACGAATCGTCCCCTCGCTCGACAGCCTCGTGACTGACCCCCCCACACTGCAGCAAAGCCTCTACCCGGCAGCGGTGGGGGTGACCTGGGAACGAAGGGTTAAGGCCAACTGGCTCCCGGGGGAAACAGCCCGCTCCGTGGTCTGCTCCCCTCTCGCCCACCCCGTGATGCAGACGCCAGCCCATGTGTTCCGCATGACACACCTCTTCGTCCCCCCGCTGCCAGCACAACCCCTTCCCCCGGGGCGGGGGAAATGCCAGGCAGGGCACCCCCCCCCCCCCCGAACGCAACAGAGCCCTTTTATTTCCTGGTTCCCGCTCGGCGGGTCAGCACCCCTCTCCAGGGACGTCACCAAGCGCATCCCGGAGCTGCCCCCGGGCAGAGGAAGCGAGGCTGAGGCTGCCCATCTGACACCATCAGCAGCTCTGGCAGCGCATGTAGGGTGGCCTTGATCTGCCCCATCGCACGCTTAACGCTGCCTCTCACGCCTGGGGGGAAACTAACAAGGGAGACTCCTCTGTGGAGCACCAGGCCAGGCAGCGAGACCCGCTGCGCCTGCTGGTGGCTGGGCCCAAGAGGCAGGATGGAGTAACTAACTCCTACTCCTTCCCCCAGCATGGGACAGGACGAGGTGGGAACAGAGAGGAGCAGGGTAAAGCCGCCCACGCCCCGATCTCACAGACACACATGACCTTCTGCAGGGGCAGGATCAGGCCCCCAGCATGGGGGTTGCGCTTGTTTCACTCCCCCCACTGCACGGGGCACACGGGGCCGTCCCTGACTGCGGGACGAGAAAAACCACGTGCCAGGGCGCGGGGGGCACGTACCATCTCGGCAAAGATGCAGCCCAGGCTCCAGATATCCACGGCCGTCGAGTAGTACTTGCAGCCGAGCAGGATTTCAGGGGCGCGGTACCAGAGAGTCACCACCTGGCGAAGTGGGGGAAATCCTTGTTAATCACGACAGGGACGTCTCTCACACTTTCCGCTCCAAGGACCCCAAAGGGCTTTACACATCACAGGCCCCCGGGAAACTTCGTAATCTCCATTTTGCAGATGGAGAAACCGAGGCACGGAAAGGGAAACTCACCCAAGGCGAGACAGCGAATTTTGGGGGGAGCTGAGAATAGAACCCAGGAGTCCGGGCTCCCGGCCTTGTGGGGGTAACCGTTAGACACTCCTCTCCCTAGTAGGACTCTGGCCCAGGAACGGAGCGCCAGGGTGGTGTGAGGCCATGGGTCTGGGAGCCTGGAGTAGGCGCAGGGGATGCAGCTGGATCTCTCCCACCCCCTAGGGGCTGGTGGTGGCATGACAGCCTTGGAGGAGTCTGCAGGAGGCGGGATCAGCTGGAGCCGGGGGTCCTGGTGCAGGGAGGACAGGGATGTTCAGCCCATCGGGGGCACCTACCCGGGTGAGGTGGCCCCATCTCACTGCCTAGCCCCTGGATCCCAGCTCCCAGCAGGAGCCAGACGGCTGGAGGAGGGGGGAGCCCCCCGGACGCACCTCATGGGTGTAGGTTCGCACTGGAACGCCGAACGCCCGCGCCAGCCCGAAGTCCGCCAGCTTGATGGCTCCCTCGGCATTGATGAGCAGGTTCTGGGGCTTGAGGTCGCGGTGCAGCACCCGGTGGGAGTGGCAGAAAGCCAGGCCCTGCAGCAGCTGGAACAGGTAACTCTGCAGCGGGGGGCAGACAGGGCTGGGGTCAGAGGGGAGGAGAGGACGCTGGGGAAGGGGTGGAGCAGCACACCAGCCGGGCCGGTTACCTTGATGAGGGGCAGAGGGATGCCGCTGATGGAGGACGAGTCCATGAACTTCTTCAGGTCCTGGTGCAGGAACTCGAAGACCAGGTAGAGCTTGTTCTCCGTGTGGATCACGTCCAGCAGCCTGCGGGCGCAGGGAGAGGAACGAGGAGACGTCACGGCTCCCGCCCTGGAGAGGCCCTGGGAGGAGGGGCGGGGGCGTTCACTTGCCGTGTCCCATGTCCGTCCTGGCCTCGGCTGAGGCTGCCAGCAGGCAGCACCCGGCGTGACGAGCTTGTGGGGCACACGTCCCGCTGGGGAGCCGGGCCCAGACCAGCCACGATGGGGGCCACAGCTCTGGGTTCCCACCGGCCCGGGGGAAGAGGGGCTCTGGATCCCAGTACCTCAGCGACCGTGTGGTGCCACCCTACAGGGACCTCGTTAACTCACTTCGCCACCCACCCCCACTTACTTGACGATGTTGGAGTGATTCAGCTCCTTGAGCAGGGAGATCTCCCGGATGGCCGTGCTGGGGACGCCCTCCGTCTCTCTGCGGGGGGGAGGGAAGCCATGGGGAGCCTGGAGACACGCAGAAGGTCTGGGGCTCCAATCAACCCCAGCCCCACTTGAGTGACACCCGTGACACCAAAGCACTTACGCCAGGCGGCCTAAGAACTCCAGCCCAGCACACACAGGCCCCAGCCTAGTGCAGCGCCAATAAGCCAAAAACCCTT